TATTTGTTTGTTGTTCTACACGTCAATGTTAAGTTTGCAATACATTGCATAATGCACGGTTGGATTTTGCGTTTACATTGATCTCCGGGGCCCAATTTCCGGAGTTCGCCTCGGGCCCCGTCGATCACAGGACCGGCACTACTTGGAGTGTGTGACTTTGAATCAAGTGGGAGTGTTGAAGAATGATTCAAAGATGGTGCCCCACGTATTGAGTCCATGTATTGAGTCAACAAGTCCTAGTTTTTAGGATATTAGTTTATTGTTATTTGATGTATTAGTGGATTAGTCCATATTTAGCATTATCTCTAATTTAGTTATTCACGTGCCTACTTTATCTCTATGTAGTTGAGATAGTGGGGTAATGGTATCTTTGTTTTATAAGCCTATATATAGGCTCCTGTTGAGTTAATAAAGGTGTAGAGTAAAGTTTATTTACACACGTCTCTTTCTCTTTAATTATCTCCTCTATTATTTATAATTATTAATAGAAAATTTTTTTCTCTTCCCAACAATATATTCAAAGTTCATGTTATAATAGCAAATATTTTGCTTTTGGGGGCAATCTTTAACTCTTTCAAAGCTTTGCACAACTCACTTTTTCTCTCTTTTATCTAATTATGGGTGTGTTTGAGCCACATTATTTTAAAATAATGTATTTTGAAATAGCAGATTGATGGATAATGTGTAGTTAAAAAAGAAGAAAATATTATTGATGTAATGAAAAATATTATTTTATTAAAAATGTAAGCTAAAAAATGAGTAGAAAAACGAAAATGAAAATATTAAAATCGCTCAAACAGGGCTTCTATATACTTTTCACTATCCGTACTAATAGAATAAAAAATAAAGTACGTGTAAGGACTATAAGAAATATAAAATCTAAATGGAATAACTGCATAAAGAAACGTCAGCATATACTTGGTCATCAGTATCATTGCAGCAAGGTGGAGGTAGCATCAACCCTTTAGCCATATTGTCAATCAACCCTGGCATTCCAAAAAGAGCTTCCTCATCGGTAAAGAAAGCATTTCTCGGCCATATAGCGGCGGCTTCCTCCATTATATCATCTTGAGACACCGCCTCCGAAGACCCGGAATTCGGTTGCCCAAAGGCCATGGCTGCTTCTGCTGCCGCTTTCTGAATGCCCTTAGCATCAATGGAGGCCGGAACTAGCAGCTTCCAAGCGGAATCAAAAAAGTTTAAACAGGCCGACCGCCCTCGAAGCGCGATTGCCGCCACTTCGTGAGCTCTCGCTGCCATTTCCGCGGTGGCGAAAGTTCCTAGCCAAATTCTTGACTTCTTGTTCGGTTCTCTCACTTCACACACCCACTTGTCGGAGTTCTCCGCCTCACTTAACATTACAAATTTTTGAACACGTACACTTCAACCTATGTTTGAACTTGGACTCTATTAGTATAAACTAGTAAGATGCCACAACATACAACTTTCCTTCATATCTGGAAAGATGTTCTTAAGCCTCCCTGTTCAATTCCTCAGCGAACTCTCTCGATTTCTCAATGCTAAGCAAGCTTTGGATAAATCATTTTGAGTTCTATGTCTGAAATCATCACCAACACTTCTATCAAAGAGAGCAAATGAAGAGGTCTTGTTGAAAATTGCTGAAGGCTTTTGCTCATAGTTTTACTTCAAAAAGACGCTTGAGGATGAGATAGGAACAGAATAGACAACAAGAAAGCTCCTCTACAGAACTTCATTCAGTTCATCATGATAGCTAGGCAGCCAGAAAAGAAGAAGCTGATTCTGAAAAAAGAACGATCTCACCATCGATTTCCATCCTCTACTTGGATCCTTGTCTCATCTTTCAACACTTCCTCTTGAACCTTCTCATACGCTTCTTCTTCCACTGTAAAATGCATTAAAATGGAATTAGCATCTCAAACCTCTAAAGCCAAAAATTATAAAATTCCCATTATCAACATCAGTTATCTTTCCACAAAATTTACTACTTTTCAAGCAAAATTAGTGAACATGTAGGATTTGTTAGTTTCTCATCCATTGTGAAATGGATAAATTGGAACCAGGTATCCTTAAAAGCTAAATCTAAGAAATATATATTGTACATTATCATCACATAATATCTTTCCACAAGATTGCTAGAGCAGAGATTGGTGGAACAAGCAAGGTATCAATAGACAAATTCACTAGTCCTGTGAAATAATAGAATGGGAAGGCTAATTAAGAAATACGAAATATACCACAGATGTAAATATACTCAAAAGAATCTGAAATTCACATTTCATTATTTTACTATACATGGAAATATTAGAATGGGAAGCCTAATTAAGAAAAAAGGGAGCTTTTAAATTTAAAAACTCAACTCGTAACTAGGATAAACAAAGTTGATGCTAGTTGACATTATTAGCAAACTGTTGGAATCAGCTTAAAATTTTAACTTTTGAGAAAGTTTAAGCATATATCTAGTGATAAG